TCATCGTGTTTTACGATACAGAGCCGCCGCCAAGCCCTAAAACCTTTCGGGAGGGCTGATCTGGAGTCTGTTCGGGGCTCCGGAGAGGGGGATTCGTCGCCGTCGTCATCATCAACCATCCTCCATCACCAATTTCATGATGGTCACCGCCGTGCGTGAGTAATTACATCGTAGGCTTGCTGGACGCTGATGGGTTGGGTGAGATTTACCATGTAATCAAGTTAGTTTTGTTAGGGTTTGATCCCTAGTATCCACTATGTTCTGATATTGATGTTGCTATGACTTTGCTATGCTTAATGCTTGTCATTAGGGCTCGAGTGCCATGATTTCAGATCTGAACCTATTATGTTTTCATGAATATATGTGAGTTCTTGATCCTATCTTGCAAGTCTATAGTCGCCTATTATGTGTTATGATCCGACAACCCCGAAGTGACAATAATCGGGATACTTCTCGGTGATGACCATAGTTTGAGGAGTTCATGTATTCACTATGTGTTAATGCTTTGGTCCGGTACTCAATTAAAAGGAGACCTTAATATCCCTTAGTTTCCATTAGGACCCCGCTGCCACGGGAGGGTAGGACAAAAGATGTCATGCAAGTTCTTTTCCATAAGCACGTATGACTATATTCGGAATACATGCCTACATTACATTGATGAACTGGAGCTAGTTCTGTGTCACCCTATGTTATAACTATTACATGATGAATTGCATCCGACATAATTATCCTTCACTGATACAATGCCTATAAGCTTTTCACATATTGTGCTTTGCTTATTTACTTTATTGTTACTACTGTTACAATTACTACAAAACTGCTATTGTTACTTTTGCCACTGTTACTATTGCTATCACACTAATTTGCTACTAAATACTTTGCTGTAGATACTAAGTTATCTAGGTGTGGTTGAATTGACAACTCAACTGCTAATACTTGAGAATGTTCTTTGGCTCCCCTTGTGTCGAATCAATAAATTTGGGCTGAATACTCTACCCTCGAAAATTATTGCGATCCTCTATACTTGTGGGTTATCAACAGCCCGCCAAATCCTTGCCGGCAAACCGACGACGGCGTCTAGAGGACAAGCCAGTACCTACATGCGGCACTGGGGCTTTGCCGGGGCTGCGCGGGGTGCTCCACGACCACTTCATGGGTTGGCGCAGCTACCGATGGCCGAAAACACCAAATCCGGGAACAAAACTGTCGTGGATCTGCAGCTTTGCGGCCGGCCGAGGTAGGAGGAAGTGGCGGGCGACAATCTCAACGCGTGGCGCCTGTCGGCGTGATCCCAACGGCTGGGTATCCGAAATCGTAGGCGGGGGTGGGTGGGGAAAAGCACGGGCTGAAATACCCCCCCCCCCCCCCCGCCAACTGCTACCGCTATATACAAGGCACCGACGGGGTGAGGGGAAGAACCGCGGGTTGGGGTGGGAATTTTACCGCGCCCCGCAAAAAGTTTTACAGGTCGGACGTGTTTGCAGGGTCTGATCGGGCAGCATTTTCCGTGCGGACCTGCATTTTTGCAGTTATTTTGCGGGTCGGGGCATTATACTGGGTGTCCAAGAGATACTATAAGCTACGCATTTGGATGCATCGTTTTTGCTGGCAGTTACTTGTGTGTACGTGCGGGTCAAGCGTGGACCTTTTTTTGTGCATGCGCGCTTGCATCGTAAAAGCCAGATTTTTCTTAGCGGTACCAAATGCTAGACCTTGCCCAGCGAGGCTATAACCGATTTCCCGTAAATGCCACAGCCTTGCCCGCTGCCGAATCTAGGCCTGAGCATAAAAACCGATGAATTAAAGACCGAACCGAAGCCAAAACTGAATAAACCGAATTATCGGTTTTTAGTGCTACCACAGAAATATTCGGTTTCTACATCTGCTAACCGAATTTAACTCGGTTGGGTACAGTTTTCAGAACGGTTAACCGAAGAAACCGAGAATATGTCACGAGCAGCCAGAGCTTGTGAATAGTTTTCGCGCTAGCCGCATGTGCGCCACTTGTAGCAACCCGGGAGTTTTCCCTTTTTTCGTAAATACGTTTATTCAAAACGTTTTATCTCTTAAACCATGCGTCCAAATCTCAAACTGTTTTCACTATTGGATTCCTTGCGTCAAGATCTTTAAAGCTAGATCCCAAGTTGATAGTTTTTGATGAACTTTTTTTTACGAAAAAAAACGAACGAAAAAACTGAACCGGGAGCATGAGTTTTTTCCCTTTTCGAAAGAGACATGCCAGTGTCTCTCATGAAATCACAACCATGCCTCTCGCGGAAGCAAAACCATGTCTCTCGCGGAAGCAAAAAAAAAAAGGAAACACATTTTTTTCCATTTCCGAGGAGGCACGGTTGTGCCTCTCGTGAAAGCACAACCATGCCTCTCGCGGAAGTAAGAAAAAAAATAGAAAACACGTCTTTTTCGTTTTCGAGAGGCATGGTTGTGCCTCTCGCGGAAGAAAAACCGTGCCTCTCGCAGAAGGAAAAATACAGAAAACCATTTTTTTCCGTTTCCGGGAGGCACGGCCGTGACTTTCACGAAAGAAAAACCGTGCCCCTCGCGGAAGCAAAACCGTAACTCTCACGGAAGGGGAAAAAAGAAAACGCGTTTTTTCGCGTAAATTTTTTTTTGTCCAAAAGTTAAGGAAGACCAGTGGAAAACTGAGACATTGAAAAAACAAAAAAAGGTTTAAAAAGTCGAAAACGCGTGCAGAAAAACAGAAAAACAAAATCCGAAGGGAACACCCAGAGCGTGACACGTAGCGGGCGGCTGAGAGCGCGCCAATTGGCACTGATAGTTGTGAGGTCATGAAGTCGTGCTCCCCGCTGGTAGGGCTCGTGAAGTCGTGCTACATCGACAAGATTTTTGCATGGGCCAAGTGAATGACCAGCGTGCAAGGCCCATGTTATCATGGGCTTGTTTTTCGCACGCGTTTTCGGCTTTTAAAATAGTTTTTTTTGGGTTTTTTTGACATTTGGTTTCCCACCGGTCTTTCTTAGCTTTCGATAAAAAAAATCATTTTTTGCGCAAAAAAAGTGTTTTCTTTTCTTTTCCTTTCTTGAGAGTCACGGTTTTGTTTCCGCGAGAGGCACGGGTTTGCTTTCGCGAGAGTCACGGCCGTGCCTCTCGGAAAAAAATGTTTTCTATTTTTTTTCCTTTCGCGAGAGTCACGGTTTTGCTTCTGCGAGAGTCACGGTTGTGCTTTCGCGAGAGTCACGGTCATGCCTCCTCGAAAACGAAAAAAAACGTGTTTTGTGTTTTTTCCTTTCGCAGAGTCACGGTTGTGCTTTCGCGAGAGTCACGTCCGTGCCTCCTTGGAAACGAAAAAAACATGTTTTCTCTTTTTTTTCACGAGAGGCACGGTTGTGATTTTGTGAGAGGCACGGGCCACTTTCGAAAAGGGAAAAAACTCGTGCTCCCGGTTTAGTTTTTTCGTTCGTTTTTTCATGAAAATAAGTTTGTGAAAACCTATCAACATGTGCTCTAGTTTTGAAGATCTCGACGCGAGGAATCTAACGGTGGAAGCGGTTCGAGATTTGGACCCACAGTTTAAGAGATTAAAACGTTTTAAATAAACGGTTATACGAAAAAATGGAAAACTCTCAGGTTGGGCGCCACTTGTCGCAACCTGGAAAGGTTGTAGTGATCTTTGCAACGAGTACTCCTCAACTAGTGATTTCGCAGTTGTTCCCTGTTAGCACATACGTGCATGTACCACCGGAAAATAGATTCCCCTAAAAAAACCAAAAGTAGATGAGGGCATAGGCGATGTTGGTTTAGTCCCACCTCGTGCAGCCAAACAAAATCGGGTGAAGAGCTTGGCTATATAAGAGAGAGCGCGGATGGAGGAAACCATGTGGCAGAAATTCTTTCGCGACTTTTCGCGAAATATGGTATATGGTATAAACCGTACACCAAATCGAATAACTCGGTTAACCGAAATTTTGGTTAGTTAATTTTTTATGTCTTGTTTGGCTTTCATCTTTGTAAACAGAATTTACAAATAAACCGAATTTTCGTTAGTTATTTTTTGATGTCTTTTTCGGTTCTCATCTTTGTAAACTGAATTTACAAATAAACTGAATTTCCGGTTAGTTAATTTTTGATGTCTTTTTCGGTTTTCATCTTTGTAAACTGTATTTACAAATATTTCGGTTAGTTAATTTTTGATGTCTTTTTCGGTTTTCATCTTTGTAAACTGAATTTACAAATAAACCGAATGGCAGAAACCGAAAATTCTGTTTATACTGAATACCCAGGCCTAGCCGAATCTCGCGAGCAATGCGACTGTGCCAACCCGTCATGCCCGTGATCTGAAGATGGCCTCGGTAGGCCTAGTGAAATTCAGGCTTATTTGTCCTATTGGTTACTTGTCCTATTGTTCCAGATCGAGCTAGAATCACAATAATGGGTTCTTTTTCTTCAGTACATGGTACCAACCTTTTATGCTCACGAACATTGTTTCCTTGCATTTGTAATAGAAAAATGGGTGCCCCAATGCTGTTCATGAACATTGGTATGTTCGTGGAAAATGTATAGGGTAGACTAAATAAGCACATGGCCTCTTTTATTCAACAAATCTGACGGGGACAATGACGCAGAAGCGTGTTACTCCATGTCCTGCATTTTATATTTCTTGATGACATGCAGTGTTGGTGACCCACTCTTTTATAAAATAGAGTGACCAATCACCGTAATTGCGGCCTCTCCAATAATCAAATTCATTGTTACTTTCAGTAGCTATTGACCTTCATTAGAGGAGACCTCAAGCTGACAGGGACAACAATGCAGAAGCGTGTTACTCCATGTCCTGCATTATTTATTTCTTGATGACACGCAGTGTTGCTGACCCACCATTTTCTTAAATAGAGTGATCAACCACCCCAACCGCGTTGACTAATAGTCCAATCCATTAATACTTTCATAGTTTCATTAGCTCCTGGCCGTCATTAGAGGAGACCTCGAGCCTGCTCTGTCTCAAGGAGAGCCAAACCAGAGCCATGGCAGAATCTGCAGTTTCTGCTGTGGTGGGAAGAATTGGTAACCTGGTCGTCAGGGAGTCATCGCTACTTTGTTCAGTCACCGGTGAAGTGGAGTTCTTGAAGGAGGAGCTAGAGAGGCTGCAGGGTTTTCTGGAAGACGCCGACAACAAGATGAGGTCTGGCAACGCGAGCATGGCTGTCTGCGTCAGGCAGCTCAGAGATGCATCATATGAAACGGAGAACATTATTGAAGCTGCAGTGTACGTGAAGTTGCGAAGCAGGCTGAAGAAGGGTTTTATGGGTGCCATCTCAAGGTATGCTCGTTTGCCAAGAAAGTTTGTTGCCCTTCATAAGGTTGATGTTCAAATTCGTCGTGTAAGGCGTAAAATCAGTGCAATTGAGAATAGCATGTTTAATTTAAATATTGCCAACCTCAGCATCGATGCGTCAGAGGATATTGAGGATAATGCGCTTATCCCGCAGAATTTTGTAGATGATGTTGTTGTTGGTTTTGAGGATGAGTGCAAAGAAATAGTGGAAAAGCTAGTTGACCAAAAGAATGAAAAACTTAGTGCTGTCTCATTGGTAGCCATGGGTGGAGCAGGAAAGACTACACTCGCTAGAAAAGCGTACAATTCACCTAGAGTAAAAGAATACTTTAATGAATTTGCTTGGGTGACTGTATCCCAAAAGTTCAAGGGCATTGATCTACTAAATGATATTCTGAAACAAATAACGGGGGCCAGTTATGAATCAAGCAAGGCAACTGATCAAATCCAGGAGAATGAGATCGGAAAGAAGATCCATGACTTTCTATTACAAAGAAGATACTTGTTGGTTCTTGATGATGTGTGGGAGGCAGACACTTGGGAGCAAATAAATAGAGCAGCTAAAGTCTTTCCAGATACAAATAATGGCAGTAGAGTACTGTTAACCACACGGAAAAAAGATGTTGCGCATCATATTCAAATGCCAACTTATGTTTGTGATCTAAAGCTCATGGATGAAGAGAAATCTTGGGAGCTTTTTAAAAGCAAAGCTTTACCATCATACAGAATGTACATGATTTGTAATCCTGACAAGTTTGAAGAAATAGGGAGAAAACTTGCAAGGAAGTGTGCTGGCCTGCCACTTGCACTTGCAGTTCTTGGGGGGTATCTATCGAAGAATCTAAATCTAGATGCATGGTCAGATTTGCTTTTGGGTTGGACATCCATAGAAGAAGTAGAGGTGGTGGGACACATACTAGCTCGGAGTTATAATGACTTGTCAAATAAGTGGCGCAAGTCATGTTTCCTCTATGTTGCTTCTTTCCCGGAGGATTATGATATAACTGTGGCAGATCTGATTGAAGTCTGGATAGCTGAATGCTTCATTCCACATACAGCAAGGCATACAATGGAAGAAACGGCACAGAGGTATGTTACCGATTTGGCTCAAAGAAACTTGGTGCAATTTGACTTTGCAATGGCATCTGGTTATATGGCAATCCAAACAATAAGGATTCATGATGTTCTACGTGATTGGTGCATAGAAGAAGCAAGAAGAGATGGTTTTCTCCATATCATTGACAAAACTACAGGTCGGGCTGGCTTTTCTCCTCCCTTTTTTGAGATGTTCCTCCCCTCTACATATTTACTTATTTTTTGACAATCTCAATATTTGGCCTTTTGCTTAACCATGTATGCCACTCAAACAATTGTAGGCCAAGCTGGTGCATCATCTTCTGATAGAGGAAGTATCCTGTGCAACGAGCCAACTCGTGCACCCAGTACACCGAGCGATTCTGGGCCATTGGATTGGAAATAGACGGACTGGATGTTATCATAACGTGACTGCGGGTATATTTACACAATAGACCTTGTCAAGTTATTGAATTGCGCAAAAGTTCTACCGAAATTCCACTCCTTCCCTTGCTCTGTCCCGTTGTGTACCTATCTCTTCAGCAAAACTCTCACCCCGATGGCTGCAATCCCTTTTCCCTCTATCTCCACAATCTATCCCTGTCCACAACGGTGCTGACTATGGCTTGGCAGGACCGACGCACACTCCTGGTCACCGCCGGTCCGCCGCCGCCGTTGCAGGCTCAGATTCAACGCCATCGCAAATTCCTAACAAGCTGAGTTGCTTTATTTATTCAGATCGTGAGTTGCATATTTATTTCACAGGCGCAACGAAAAAAGAGCTAAGAATATTCTCCTGATTACTGATTACGGCGGATATCATTGAACTTCTTGTATATATGAGCCTTCTCCTATTGATGTGTGTGCATTTGCTATGTCCAAAATAGAAATCAGACTACAGTTGGTATTATTGTCTTTGTCATGCCCTTTTCAGATTCTAGTTGGGCCTTCTATTCTGAATTTTGTGCTGAAATAAGCAACTGGAAAAATAGGTGTAGTTTCTAACCTTGCACTGAAGTCATGACCACTGAATAAATGCTATGCGAGAAATATAATATGTTTAGAAAAGGAACAACAGATGCATCAAAGAAGGCCCGCTGTCGTATACAAAGTCGGATTCAAACATTGTACACATATATATGATGTAACGTATTTCACAAGGATAGCTTTGTTGTACACAACTCCCGAAAAGAAGGCCTGCTGTGCTCTATTACCAGTCACTTTATTACAATAGATACACTTCGTTTCAGATGCCAATATATCCTGACTTGAGCAATAGGTTGAGCACCATGCAGCTCCCATCGTCATCTAACAGAGATATCTTGGTTGGCTGAAAGAGACAAAGTGGATACAACTACAACATTAGTCTGCACAGCGAACTTTTTGTTTTCGCTAGAGATGAGCTTGCAACTGAACATGCCGACAATACCTGAAAAAATAGGAACATCATGTATTTTTAGAAGCATATCCAATATGAAAGGTCAACAAAATTATCTGGTTGGATAAGAAGAAACAGTTGAACAAAAATAATGATAGCCAGAGTACAAGCTAAATCAACAGCCAAAATAAATGTTGCCAAGCAAGAGCGCTTGATGATCGACCATGCGAGAAGATGTGAAATCGCAGCATGGTTCCTTCTAGATGTGTTCTGGGACATCATTAGCACTGACACATGAGCCTCTAACTAGCTTGCACAACCTATTCAGAATCATCCAATGAAAGCAAGTGTATACCTAGAATTAAAATTTATAGGTATTAGAGTTACATGTATCAAGAATTGTTGAGATGACTCCAGGCATGTACGCCAGATCATTATTGTTGATTTTAAAGCATTGTTTTTAGGGGATTTTGAAAGCATTGTTAGAAAGTGCATCGCAACAAGTAAAAAGTCATGAATAAGAAGAACTACTAATGATTTCAGAAAGTTCAACTGGACATCAAAGTGCAGTTTCGATTTAAGATCAACAAAATGAATCAAAAGAACACACAACAAAATATAATCTACTCCAGGCTCGTAACCATTTTTCACATACAAGTCATAACATTCATGCACAAATCTTACTTTATAGCCTGCAGGAGATATAGATACTGTTTACGACTTAAGTATGGAACAACGAGCACACCTTTTGCCTGATTTCTAGTCCATTGCTGCAATTGGGGAAAACTGATAAATGGGAAGAAACGTAATACTTTGGATAATCGAATAGGAGATCATACCTTGATACCTTAAGCTGCAGAAGATGGCCGTCTTCTTTGCGATGGCTGGGTCGACACTGCCCGGGCTTATAGCATGGCGGCGCTACATGTACGCGCTCGCCGACAGTGCGACTGTTTCAGGGGAGAGGAGCGGCGCTGGCGCTTGTACAACGCTGAAACTACATACATGACCAGGCGGGAAGAGGTCGAGTGGCCCAGCAGAGGAGGGGCGGAGGGGAGAGAGGCGACAGAGCAAATTGCTAACCCCAGCTTGCAAATCGCCGGTGTACAGGTACGAGCAGAGCAAAGGGAAGAAGGCAATGGGATCTCGGAAGGACTGCTTTGCGCAGTTGAGTGCCTTTACAAGGTCGATTGTGCGAAATGTACCAGCTGCCACCGAGTACTAACATCCAGTCTGTCTGTTCTCCATCCAATGGCCCAGAATCAGCCGGCGCATCCGTAGCACGAGTTAAGCTGGTGCACAGGATACGTTCTCTCTTCTGATACCATGACGTCCTATCGTTCTTGTTTTCATAATTTCTATGATGATCGGATTCTCCAGTCAACACCTAATCTCCTTACATGGATTGGTTTTGGACTTTCAGAAGTGTTCCTTCCGAAGCTAAGGTTCCTAAAAGTTCTTTACATAGAAAATTCAAGCCTCAAGAATTTGATGTTAATTCGTGGGTGCATTCACCTAAGATACCTTAGGTTGAGAAATTGTCACACTGTTACACTTCCTTCTTCTATTGGACAACTCCTTTACTTGCAAACTGTAGATCTGAGGGGCACATCTCTTGGCAGAAGTTTACCAATCACCGCATGGGCTATCCCTACCCTAAGGCACCTTTACCTTGATTCTGGATCTTGTGGAACCATTGAACTAGACCCGATGCCACTCCTAGAGAAGCTTCCATGTCTTGTGGTGTTGCATCTATGGAATTATCGGGGCCCGACTATGCACTGCTCTGCCCAAGGATTGCCTCAGCTGCAAAATCTGGAACTTCATTTCTTTAGTACCGAGTGGACGATAGAGGTGGGGGCAATGCCAAGACTCTCCAACCTGAAGCTTCTGAGTTGCGGGATGCAGAAGCTCCCCGAGGATCTGCTGAACCTGCAGTGCTTGAAGAAGTTGGAAACTAACTGCTGGCAGCTTAAATTTGACAACACATGGAAAGAACTGAAAAAGAAGGGATGCAAGGTCAGTTAGCTATGCCCCTCCCCACTCGCCTTCTATTCTTTGGTGTTTTAGTTTGAGTCCTTTTTGCTTTCAGAAAGCAAGGTGTTTTGTATTTACAACGACAAAAGAGCTTCTGTTTAGAGTAAATTGGAGTTTCCAATCTGTCCCTGCCATGTTTGTTTGGAATACAGATAATACCCGGCGCCTTGCTGCGGGAATTTGTAGCTATGTATTGAAGGACGATTTAGAGCAAGTATAATAGAGATGAGTCAGCAGGCTATATGAAATAAACTAGTATATTTTTGCTTAGTTGGAGGAAAGAGAAGAGGAGAGAGAAGGTAAGCGGGCTCTCCGTGAAGAGCCAGTTCTAGCACGTGCTCCTGGGCACTTTGTGAGAATGAAAGGTGGGCCACATAATGAAAAAATAGTACACTTTTTTGATCTACTATTATACATGTTGGCTATAAGATGGGTTGTAGATGACATGGCACTGGCTTATAGCCAGCAGCTGGCTATACTATTAACCATGCTCTTATGAGTGAGAAATAGTAAAACCTATGAAAAGAAATATAAAATATGTTTATTGAACATTTGAATGATACGAGAAGTAAGATAAATTAATATATTGCATAGTATCTCCAAATTTGCGTAAATTACAATGCATCACCAACATGAAGACACGTAACATATATTTCGATGCGATTTAATAATTTGAGATAATATAATTTTGTTGTTTATTAAAGTGATATTAAAGTGCATCAGAGCAAGAAACAAATAAATTTCATATTGACTAGCAAGCCTTACAATCTTAATGCGGCAGGAATTAGCTTGCATTCTCCACCTTGATCCACTTACTAAGCAAAAAATAACCAGGGTATACAAAATGTCATGGTTCCGGAGTACACATATCTATACTCCATTTTACTACATCTTATTTAAGCGTCTACCAGCAAGCATAGACCAATTAAACTGAAGGACAATGAGAATAGGCCATACCTGAGCCTCTCGGAGAGGAAAAAGAACTTTTAGGCTAGGATTGTTATAGCACTAAAAGAACAATTAATCCAGTAGTGATACAGGACAAAGCTTCGTTCTAAAAGAAGCTTATCTACCACACACAAACCCGAGCGTCAAATCAATATTGGAAAAATGAAAAAATTTATATCTGAGCGTCAAATTTCAGGGAGCTGTTCGGCAGTCAAGTGCTCCCTGAAATTCAAGGATCTGCAGAGCACCTGTTCCCCCGCTCCGTACTTTTTACCTTCAGCTCCGCCAACTCCAGGAGCGAGAGCGTGGAGTCGGAGGGATGCCGAACCGGCCTCAAGGAGAGCAGTCACCTCTGGCACGGATGACGTTGGACCAGGATTGCGCTGGTGGCACGTGCTGTCGTCCGATTGACGGCCAGGCTCCGAGCCGGCAGCAGTGCGGGTGTCCCGCTGCGATGACCCGTGAAGGCTTGGACGGTGGCGCTGCAGTATTGAGAGAGAGAGAGAGGAGATAGAGGCAAGATGAGAAGAATTAATGGAGATCGGAAGTGCTGTTCTGCTCCCCCTAGAGATTGGTTTTTGAGGGAATCGGTGGAAATTTTATTGGTTCATTTAGAGAGATGAATCGGTCGAGATTAAATTGGTTCAGGGAGATGAATCGGGGTGGCCGCGTCTGGTGCCTCCACTGCGAGGAGTACCGGAGCCGAGGAACAGGATGGGGAAGTGGCTCTGGCCACCGGCGAGGGAGGCCGGCTGCGGGAGGAGGAGCCAGAGTAGAAAAATCGCGAGGGAGCTTCTCTGGGTCTGACCAGGGGCGTGCGCCGTGTGGAATGATTGGGAACAAATTTTCGTTTTCTTTCAGGGAACTCAAGATTTCGTAGTCAAAGTTCACAGGGCCAAATGCTCTATTTGAGTGGGCACGAACATACACAATCAAGGTTCGAAGAACTTCTACTTCACGCCTTGAGGATTCTATGACGCTCACTCAATAGTGTTGTGGCGATTGCAAGCGATCAATAAACGAGGAAGCCAAATTATGGATCCATGAAGGCTGCATTAGAAGGAAGAGTGGGTGTTGCTATGCCGTTGGCTGGGACTGAGACAGAGAGAGGGGAGCATATGTGACTTGGCTGGATGCTGAGCGTGTGTACGCTGCATGTTGAGTAAATCAAATGGGGGTGAACTTTTTAAGTAGTACTCCCTCCGTGAACTAATATAAAAGATAGCTCTTATATTAGTTCACGGAGGGAGTACTATAATACTATATAGGATAACAGTTGCAAGTTCTATCGTTTAAGCTCACATCTCAGTTGTGTTCTAACTGGCTCAAGGCTGGCGATACGAAGACGGTCTTTTTTCAGGCGAAGCTGAACTCTAGGCGCATGAAGAATTTCATCCATTGCATACATGCCGCTGGCACTCAGGCAACAAATCACAACGATAAGGCCGCGATCATACACGTCCACTTTTTCTAGCTGCTGGGTCAGAAGAAAAGCAGAGCCCGATCGATCAATTGGGAGGCGATTTTTCGCCCCATGGCGGATGGTCCGTTCCAGGATCATCCTGCGGTGGGTTTCCTGATGATGCGCCAACTCGCTCCCCCCTTTTCAGTCTCATTATGCTCAAGGCTTTATCTCATCTGTTAGTTGTAGTTGATCGGTTACTAAGAACTTGGGTACAGACAGATGTATTTCCGTTGATTGCGAAATTAATGGAAAGGGGTTGTGAGCCCGGTTGGAAAAAATTGGGAGGCGATCGGGCTTCCAGTGTTGCCATCGGGGGAGGGGGCCTCGACAACCCGTTCACTAAAGAGGAGGTTTGGGCGGCCATCTGTGCCTCGTCGGTGAAGAAGGCGCCAGGACCAGACGAATTCAACGGAACATTCTTCAGAGCATGATGCCAGACGATCAAGGCTGATATGATGGCCGTGTTCGGCAAGTTCTACCAGGTGGCCAGTGGCGATTTCGCTACACTCAATCACGCCCTCATCATATTACTGCCAAAGAAAGATGGGGCAGTACATATGAATGACTTCCGGCCCATCAGTCTCATTCACTCGATGGCAAAATTGATTGCTAAGGTCCTCTGAATTACGCTTGCTGGCGTGCTTGATGAAATCACATCTCGAGCTCAAAGTGCTTTTCAGAAGCGCAAAGGGATCGATGACAGTTTCATGTATGTTCAGAACTCTGTCAGAAGTTTCCAGAGGAGGAAAACGCCGACACTTTTGCTGAAACTGGACATTGCAAGGGCCTTCGACTCCGTCTCCTGGGAGTACATCATAATGCTAATGCAGCAGATGGGCTTCCCCGCCCGTTGGAGGGACTGGATTGCTCTGTTGCTTGCATCTTCATCCTCTTCGTGCATGCTCAACGGAGACCTAGGACAGTGCATCTCTCATCAGGGTCTGAGACAGGGCGACCCCGTATCCCCCTTACTCTTCATCCCAGCGATCGATCCACTCCATAGGCTCTTGGAGGCAGCCACGCATGCAGGCACCCTCGCGCCACTACTGGCAAGAGCTGCGCGCCTCCGGGTCATGCCCTATGCTGATGACGCAGTAATCTTCGCGAAACCAACGCGCCAAAAAATAGACCCGTAGAAATCCTCTGTAGCGCCCATACACTGCCAGGGCATTGATCTCGGCCATGTCCTGCAAAACTTTAGCGGAAATATAGTTTGGTTCCCTATTAGATACTTAGGGCTGCCCGTCTGCATCAATAGATTTCGGCTCGTCCATCTGCAGTACATCCTCGACCACATCGGTGCGAGGCTGGCGGGCTAGAAGGGACGGCTGATGTGGATCGCCGGGCACCGTGTTTTGGTACGTTGCATGCTCACCATGTTGCCGGCGTTCGCCCTCCCAGTGCTGTGCACCCCCAAGAAATTCTAGAAGGAGGTTGACAAGGCACGACGATAATTCTTGTTGACGCAGAACTAGGAAATCACCGGAGTGAAATGCAAGGTCAATTGGCGGCTCGTCACCACACCAATTGACTGCGGCTGGGCTGGCTTTGGATGACGTGTGGAAACAACCGGAAAGGCCACGGGTGGGCACTAGCTCTCCTTGCGACGACAAGGACAGTGTTCTCTTTGCCGCTGCAATCGCGGTGAGAAGGCCCTTTTTTGGAGTTGCACGTGGCTCGTTAACTAGCCACTGCACCAAAGCTTCCCGACTCTGTTCAAGCACTCAATCAGGAAGAACCGCACGGTCGCGGGGACGCTAAAGGATGACAGCTGGATCCTTGGCCTAAGGCACGGCAACACGGACGCGATCATCCCTCATGCTACCTCCCTCCTGAGGCCAACGTTGTGGTAAAGCCTAAATGAGACCGCCGAAGATGAAATCTCCTGGAAGGGTGGCCGGTCAGTACACGGTGAGGGCAGCCTACAACATACAATTTGAAGCACAACCCAGGGGCGAGCTGCAGCATCTGGTGTGGAGGATCTGGGCATCGGGGAAAATCAAGTTCTACCTATGTCTACTCCATCACGACCGTCTCTAGTGCAACGACCGGCTGCAGCGGCGTGGCTGGAAGAACAACTATTTCTGCCAGCTCTGCAACAGACGCTTGGAGTCCTCGGTGCATCTTCTATGGGAATGCCCAGTTTCCAAGGTGATCTGGTCAAGGGCAACCTCCTGGAATGGCTGCAGCGCATTATCGCCGGAGACCTGGGCACGCAGCAAGACCACAACGGAGGCAGTCATGGCCATCATCGCTGCTTCACCCCCGTGCGTGAAGAAAGGAATCAAGACCATGGTGGCTCTATTGGCATGGCACATCTGGCAAGAGCGAAACTGCTGCGCTTTCCAAGGGAAGTGGTGAGCTCAAAAGACGTGATCGAGGCTTGCTGTAGAGACATGGAGCAATGGAGATTAGCCGGGGCTAATGGCATAGCGACCCCTTTAGGGGAGATCACATGAGAATTACTTCATAGGCCAATCTAGGGGGCGAGCCTGCTTGCTACGCCACCCTTCTGTTTTCTACACAAGCATTCTGATCACTTGATTAAAAGTTTGTAATTTGTCTTTTGCTAAATCAATGGAAAGCTATGGTAACTGGATCTTTCAAAAAAAAAATTGTGTCCTAACTAGAAGTCAATTTTCTTTCGTGCCTTCTGCAGATGTGTGTTTTGGTGGATGCCTCTTAGAGATACTCATGGAGCCAGGTGAGTTGCTCGACGCAAAGCATAAAAGAACATGTTTTAATAAGACTTCTAACTACTACATTTTTTCTCCTCTCTAAAAAGCATATACTCCATATAGATGCCCTCAGGATCCCGGGGCGATGCGTACGAGGGTGAAATGACATGTGAAGGGAGTCGAGGACACATAAGGGAAAAAGAAGGGATCAACAAACAGGGCTATGCCTTTTACTCCATGTAATTTGTGGCACTGATATTCTATCTGATTCATGTAATTTGTGTGTGTACAGAGATGAACATGTGTGCTACGATGGTAATTTGTGTATGTACTCAATTTGGTAGTCACAAGGCTTATGGTTTTGCAGCTTGAGATTTGCGTAAACCAATAAATCAAACGGTTCTATATATTGAGATTTGTGTAAATTTATGATTTTTATGTAGTGTAATGCTATCTACTGATACAATTTTGACCTGTGGAGCAACCGTTTGTTCCTACAAGATGAATCTCTCATTTCTTTTGCGTCTTGTTCTGTGTCACAAGGCGGACCTTGATACGTCTCCAACGTATCTATAATTTTTTATTGTTCCATGCTATTATATTATCTGTTTTGGATGTTTTATATGCATTAATATGCTATTTTATATTATTTTTGATACTAACCTATTAACCTAGAGCCCAATGCCAGTTTCTGTTTTCCCCTTATTTTTGAGCTTTGTAGAGAAGGAATAGCAAACGGAGTCCAAACGGAGTAAAACCTTTGCGATGATTTATCTTGGACCAGAAGACACCCAAGAGACTTGGAGATCAAGTCGGAAGAGTAGAGGCGGCCACAAGGGGGGAGGGTGCGCCCAAGGGGGTAGGGTGCGACCCCTGCCTTGTGGGCCCCACATGACTCCACCGACCTACTTCTTCGTCCTATATTTTCACATAAACCCCCAAACCACCAGAAGCATCCACGAAAACACTTTTCGACCGCCGCAACCTTCTGTACCCGTGAGATCCCATCTAGGGGCCTTTTCCGGCATCCTGCCGGAGGAGGATTCGATCACGGAGGGCTTCTATATGAACTCTATTGCCCTTCCGATGAAGCGTGAGTAGTTTACCTCATACCTACGGGTCCATAGCTAGTAGTTAGATGACTTCTTCTCTTTCTTTGGTTCTCAATACCATGTTCTCCTCGATGTTCTTGGAGCTCCATCTGATGTAATCTTCTTTTGCGGTGTGTTTGTCGAGATCCGATGAATTGTGGATTTATGATCAGCTTATCTATGAATATTATTTGGATCTTCTCTAAATTCTTATATGCATGATTTGGTATCTTTGTAATTCTCTTCGAAATATCGGTTTAGTTTGGCCAACTAGATTGGTTTTTCTTGCAATGGGAGAAGTGCTTAGCTTTGGGTTCAGTCTTGCGGTGTCCGTGTCCTTTCGCAGTGACAGTAGGGGCATCAAGGCACGTATTGTATTGTTGCCATAGAGGATAAAAAGATGGGGTTTACATCATATTGCTTGAGTTTATTCCTCTACATCATGTCATCTCACTTAATGCGTTACTCTGTTCTTCATGAACTTAATACTCTAGATGCAGGCAGGAGTCAGTCGATGTGTGGAGTAATAGTAGTAGATGCAGAATCGCTTCGGTCTACTTGACACGGACGTGATGCCTATATTTCATAATCATTGCCTCAGATATCGTCATAACTTTGTGTTTTTCTATCAGTTGCTCGACAGTAATTTGTTCACCCACCATATTACTTGCTATCTTGAGAGAAGTCTCTAGTGAAACCTATGTCCCCCTGGTCTATTTTCGATCATAAAAGTTTCCGATCTACTATTTTGCAATCTTTTACTTTCATATCTATAAACCAAAAAATATTTACTTTATCTTTTGTTTAGTTTCATCTATCTTTATTAGATCTCACTTTTGCAAGTGACCGTGAAGGGATTGACAACCCCTTTATCGCATTAGGTGCAAGTTGTTTGATTGTTTGTGCAGATATTGGTGATTTATGCGTTGTCTCCTACTGGATTGATACCTTGATTCTCTAACTGAGGGAAATACTTATCTCTACTTTGCTGCATCACCCTTTCCTCTTCAAGGGAAAAACCAACGCAAGCTCAAGAAGTAGCAGGAAGAATTTCTGGCGTCGTTGCCGGGGAGATCTACGCCAAGTCAAGACATACCAAGTACCCGTCATAAAACTCTCATCTCTTGCATTACATTATTCGCAATTCGCCTCTCGTTTTCCTCTCCCCCACTTCTAAAATGATTTTTGAAAAGATTCACCCTTTTTATTCGCCCTACTTCCATTCGTCTTTTCGTTTGCCTTTATGTCTTACTTGATTCATTTGCTCGTTCGCTTGGTATAGTTGTGTATTTATTGAAAATCATAAACCAAAAAGTTTATGTATCCTCATCCACTTGCTAATCTTTTTAAGACATCTAATTATGATGAACCAACAGCTAGTGAGTTTTGTGCACTAGATTATCTTTATGAAGTTTTACTTGAAATTCGTGAATCCAGAAATTGTGATGAAGTGTTGAAAGAAGAAAATTATAAAGTGATTCATGATAGTGCTTTGAATGAAAAGCATGATCGCAATGATATTATTATAAATTCCATTAATGTCAATTGTGTTAATGATATGCAAAACCCTAAGCTTGGGGATGATAGTTTTGCTATGTCCAGTACTTGTTGCAATGATCATGATTGGGGTGATTCTTCTTATGATCTTGAAAATTTATTTAAGCCTCATGATGAATATGAGATTGATATTAGTGTTTGCAATAATATTGAAAGTGGTTTGGAAGAGTGTCAACTTTAGATGTGGTTTTGTGTTTTAATTAGTGTTTGTGCCAAGTAACACTTTTGGGATGGCTTACGGTGATAGTAGTTTTGATCTTGCTGGAAAACAGAAACTTTTGCACTCAGGAAAATAATTTTCATAATTTTCATAATTCTTTTTGCACACAGTTGGTACACAACAACACTCTCGCATTCTCTACAAAATCACTCTCCCATTCTCTCCCGGACTCCCCTCCTCCTAACCGCCGACACGTTCCGATCCATTTTGTACGATGAGCGATGAGCTACTCGAGTTGCTATACATCATTGCAAGTAGTCAAAAGGAAGCCACTGAAAAAATTGATCTCAACAAGGATGCTCTTCAAGCTAGCTGGATGAAGGAAAGACCAGCGAGGCCGCTCCTATGAGTATCCATATCATCACCCTATATTATGATTTTGATGTTTATAGGGGTTTTCAAGTCTTTACAGTCTACATGTAGTAATGAAGCCGAGACCCCAGTTTGTTCAGGTATTCTGGACTTCATATTTGGAGTACCACTTATCTGTCGAAATCTTTCATCATTTACTTAAAACAGTTGAATGATCATACATTGAGTACCAGTTAACTAGAATTAACCAATGCAAGTCCAAGAAGGATTGGCCAGTGTTGCCGATTGGCGTCAAGTTCGATCCCACAGGTCAGGAGCTGATCGAGCACCTTGAGGCCAAAGTGAGTGCTGACAGCGTGAGATCTCACCCTCTCATCGATTTGTTCACACCAACCGTCGACAGCGAGCACGACATATGCTACACTCATGCTGAGAAACTTTCAGGTGAGGCACCGGTCGTCCGTCTACTTGCACAAACATATTCCTTTGTTTATAGCTCTATTTTTCTTTTTAGACGCAGACCTAGTGAAACAATTACAATTTTATAGTTAATTAAAACTGAAACAAGTGACTGCAACATGCCAAAGTATTATGAAAATGCCAACTACATACACTAAAACTTGTATTCGACAATACTGCAGGTATCACACTGAGTGGCCTAAGCAAGCATTTCTTCCAGCGCAACTCTAGGGTGTTCAAAATGGGCACGCGAACGCGTCGAAAGATACAGTCGGAGTCCGGCATGCATGCGATGTGGGATAACACCGACAATACCTTGCCGGTGATGGTCAACGACCGGCAGATGGGAAGCAAAAGGTTCTGGTGCTGCACACCAACAAGAACTTCGAACAGCATAGGACCAACTGGGTGATGGACCAGTGCCACCTCGGGGACCTGGAGCAAGAGAAGGAGCGAGAGCTGGTCCTCTGCAGAATTTTCTACCAGACGAATACTAGGGCCAAGACTAAAAAGATTATAAGTTAGTTTGGTATTGGTACTTGTACTACCTGGTCGTCTGCAAGTTGGTATTGTTGTGAAGGATCTTTTGGTATGAACTTGGCATTTGCTTCTAACCATCATGTCGAGGGTCGACGTGGATATAAAGCTGATCATTTGTTTCGAAACGAATTTTCAGGTACCTGATTTTTATTTGATGGGTAGCATAAGCACCTGCAATTCGAATTCCTAGTTCTCCAAAAAAATTACATCTTCAAAGTATGCAGGGGATCCATCCGGTTTCATAGGCTGATAGTTGGACGCAGCACGTTGGAACTGGGTTGTGGCATGCCAAGCCCAGCTGTAAATTATTAAAAGAGAGGAGCGATGGTTTTGGGCCTTGTAGAATAGTTAAGTGCCGCGACCTCGATCGTGAAGCGCCTCCCTTGGACTAAAAAAAGGCCTAGTCCGTTATTATTAGTTGAAAAATATTACATAATGAAAAGAAATATGTAAAATGCAACGAATTTAGTCCACTTTCACTAAAAACCATTCGATTTGCATGAAATTCGTCTGTGGAACCACAAGATGGTTGTCCATACAGAGCCTAACTGTACGGAACCAACAGGTCCATGGCTGTACGCAAGCAAGTCCATCCACTTATTATCACGATGGAAAAATAATGCTGACGTCTGAGACAGTGAAACCCATGAAGTTTTCAACATAGTCAATAAATGAGAGAATTCTGCAAGTACAGACTGATAACTCGGATCCAACAGGTATATTGTTTTTTCAGGTGGAGCAAGTTTCAACTGGGCTGTAGACTGCCTAGGCTTGGTTTTGTTTTTAACAGGCACAGCTCATGACGACAACAGGGCACAAAGATCCAGCA